TCAAAAAAAAAAAAAAAAAAAAAAGAAATTCATAACTAAGAAACTGTAAAAACAAATAAAAAACTAAGGGAGTTAAGTATTAACTTGTAGCTCATTATAATTATGTATGGAATTAACCACTGGTGGAAAATTAGACTAAAAATCCAATCACACCAGATCATTTTTGAAGCCTCTCTTAATGTACTCCTGACCTTTAAAAAGGGGAAAAGTAACAGTTGCAAGATAAAGTCAGAAAGTACTTACATTACTCATAGAGCACAAATCAACAAACTGTCGAATTTTATCTTCTATAAATCTCTCATAAAAGATACCAAAGAACACGATCTGAAACAGTAAGCCAAGTTCATGGTTATAGCTTTTAGGATTTTAATTTTCTTTTATAGCCACAGGATAGTATTTTAAGAAAAAAGAATTTCCAACAAGAACACTGTGGCCTCTAATAGTTCCTATGGAAGAACATCTTATTTGTCATTTCTGATTCTTCTGGCACAGAAAGGAGGATTTTGGAATTGTGGTAAGAGTCACTGAGGGAATCTATTTTTGATTTTGGAAACTTTCATGTGTTGGTAAGACAAGCATGGGGAAGAAAGAAAAAAAATCTCCTACAGGTTTAGGATAAAGCAACAGCTTAGTGATCAGAAAGTATGTCTGGTTTTGCAATTCTGTTCATCTCCTAAATTCCAGAAGTCATTAGAGAAATTCCTGCTTTTTAAATTAATTTTCTCTGACAGAATAGCACATAAAAGGCATAAATTTAGTATTCTATTTTGATTACAATGTGTTAAATATTCAAATGGTTTTTAGTGTTTTTTTAGATAGATTCAATAACAATACTAGAAAAGGAAGTTTTATGAATAAAAAAGTTCACATTGTAGACCTTTTTAGATATTTTTGAGACAAAGGTAACAGGCCTAACCCCTGTTTAAAGATGTTCCCACTGTTCCTCAGTCCCAGGCTCCATTCCCCTCACCTCCCTTCTGTATCTCATGTCCTTGCTTCTTCAAAGCACTTATCTGTAACTTGTTTTTATTACAGCATATCTATTAGCTCAGCATAGCACCTAATACATAAGATATATTCAAATATGTAAATTTATCTATTAAATAGATTAAATTTTTCAATGACTAAATCAATCTATAGCAGCTGATTATTGAAAAAACTTTTCTACACACTATATGTACATATAAATATATTTTAATCACCTTTAAAGGGCATGAAAAGCAGCAACATTCAAAGTTTAAAAGTTTAAAAAAATTCAAGGATATCACTTAAAAGCTGAAGAAGCTAGGTTTAGGGAAATAAAAAGAGTAAAGAATAAAGTCTTCTTATTAGAATTAAGATTAGACAAATTTATGAAACTATACCAGTTTGTTAAAGGAACTCTCAAGAATATTTGAGGAATAGACACTGATATTATTAGAATATTACCATGGAGAGAAATGCTGATAGTAAAGTGAAAAACAAAGAATGAGGTCAGATGGTGGTGTCCCAGATTGCTAAATGCTGTCTTTGTGGTCCTTTCTCCTTGTAACAGATCCCACTTTTGTGTAAGACACACTGTGCCCAGCTGCAAGACTTCAGGGCATCTAGGTGTAGGCGTGTGTCTATGTTCTAGGCAAGGAGAGACTGAATGGCACTTCTGAACAAGCTCTTGAAGAAGAGAGGGTGAGCTCATCTCTCCCGCCTCCCTCCTGCAACTCCATCAACCATTATAGACCATGAGGGGACCTTGGGATGGAAGTCCCATCTGGCAGAACAGAAAGACAGGCTTCTGGGTCCTGACAGCAGCACGGAGCCACCACTCCAGCCCTGTGCTACCAACTTTTGCTCTTTTTTTTTCACGGGAAAGATAAAGTTCTCTTTTATTTCAGCCACTCCTACTATATTTTTTGTTGTTTTTGGTATAGTCAACCAAATATGAAATAGCTTATCTGTCCTTGTACTTATAGATAAACTAAACATGGGGTGTATCCTATAAAGTGGCAGACTCTGAAAGACCTTTCAAAGGCCACTATTGACAAGAATGGGAACTCTGAAATCAGGCTGCCTGTGTTCAGATTACATTCTGTCAATTATGAACTGCATGATTTTAGGCAATTATTTAACCTTCTTGCACCTCAGTTTCCTCATCTGTAAAATAAGTATACTAGCAGAACGTACCTCAGAGGGCTATTGTAAAGATCAAGTAATTAATATGTACAAAGCAATTTTAGTCGCCCCTGGGTATGCAGGGGATTGGCTCCAGAACCTGTAGGTATACCAAAATCTGCACATTCTCAAGTCCTGAAGTCAGCCCTGCAGAAACTAAGGATATGAAAAATCAGTCCTCCATATACTTAGGTTTTGCATCCAGGAAATAGTGTACATAGTATTTTTGATCCATGTTTGGAAAAAAATATGCATATAAGTGGGGACCCTTGCAGTTCAAGCTCAAGTTGTTCAAGGGTCAACTACAATTAAGTAGCACACTGCCTAAAGTGTAACACAATGTAAGAACTGGTTATTAGATATTATTATTGTTGTTCTTGTCGCTTTCTTTCTGCTACAGGGATCAGAATATGGTCAATACCTGAGAGTAATTAAGTATATATATAAGTAGAGTTCAAAGAGGCAATGTCACTTAGAAGTGTAATCTCTTATTACCTGTATAATTCCAATGACTAGCCAAAGAGCAGCAGACACTGCATATCTCAAAATGCGGCTGTAAGGAGCTATATAGCTATGTGGGCTTCTAGAAAGACTAGAGGAAGAGTCCATTAGTGCTAAGTTCTTGAATCCCACAACCTAGAATAAAAAAAATAATTATTTAAACTCACATGGATAAAGAAAATTCTTCTAAGGCAGTGGTTCTCAACCTTCCTAATGCCACAACCCTTTAAAACAGTCCAAAGGTATCACAACCCACAGGTTGAGAACCACTGCTCTAAGGCCACATATGGTGGCGCATACCTGCAATCCTAGCACTTTGGGAGGTTGTGATGGGAGGATGGCTTGAGCCCAGCCTGGGCAACACAGTAAGACCCCATCACTACAAAATTATTTAAAAATTAGCTGTGCATGGTAGCACGGACCTATAGCTCTAGCTACTTAGGAGACTGAGGTAACAAGACTACTTGAGCCTACAAGTTAAATATGGCAGTGAGCTATGATCATACCATGATACTCTACCTTGGGTGAAGTTAAGATCCTGTCTCTAAAAAAAAGGAAAAAAAAAAAGTAAACTCTAGACTGAAAATAGAACACTCTTCCCTACTCTTCACCTTGAAAAACTAAAATATCTAAGTTCTTATAAACTGTAGAAAATCTAGTTTAGTTTATCCAGTACTTTAACTACAAAGTATATATGTATATTTGTACATACTTATCATATTTATTTATTTTGTGACAAGGTATCACTCCTGGAGTGATGAATGTATGTATATTTGTACATATATATTGTATTTATTTATTTTGTGACAAGGTACCACTGCTGGAGTGCAGTGGTGAGATCATAGCTCACTGCAGCCTCTGACTCTTGGGTTTAAGGTATCCTCCTATGTTAGCCTCCTGAGTGGCTGGGACTACAGGAGCAATTCGTCGGTTTTTAAAAAATTTTTTTGTAGAGATGTGTATTGCTATGTTGCCTAGTAGGTTACAAAGTATTTATTAAAGCTATTTAGTTAGTGTGTTTGGTGTTCTTCTCAGTATGACCAAGGATGAAAGATAACCTTGTTGTCACACATACTGACAAAGCTCAAAAAATTGTTAAAAAGAATAAAACTTCCTTCAGTAAACTACCAGTAAGTTAAACTAACAACTAACATTTCATGAGCATTTAACATGTGTCAGGCAATATACTAAATATTTTTTATACTTTAAAAGAGTGTACTTCAAAATGTCTTCTGAGAGACAGAACTTTTTTTGTTTTAAGACAGCCTCATTCTGTTGCCCTGGGTAGAGTGCCATGGTGACATTGTAGCTCATGGCAACCTCAAACTCTAGGGCTTGAGTAATCCTCTTGCCTCAGTCTCCTGAGTAGCTGGGACTAAAGGTGTGCGCCACTATACTCCCTCTGAGCTCAAGCAACCCACCTGACTCAGCTCCCAGAGTTCTAGGATTATAGGCGTGCGTCATTGTGCCTAGTCTGATATAACTTCTTTGATAAGAGGAAGCCATGGTTAAATAAACTTGGTCCACTCATTATACTTACCTCCATGCCTTCTACCCTGGTAAAATAAAGGCTCTGAGAAAGTTTTATGGTAAATGATTCGATACAATTTTATTGAATCCAGTGTTTCCAAACTTACTTGACTGCAAACTTCTTTTTCACATAATACCTTTTAAAGCTCATGAAACTCATGAAAACTACTGCCATACCAAAAAGTATGTGAGGTATGTTAATTAGTTTGATTTAGTTATCCCATATGTATATATTTGATATATGTATATATATCAAAACATCACATTGTACACCATAGAAATGTACAATTTTTTTTTTTTTTTTGCAGTTTTTGGCCAGGGCTGGGTTTGAACCCCGCACCTCCAGCATATGGGGCCAGTGCCCTACTCCTTTGAGCCCAAAATATACAATTTTTTCCCGTCAATTTAAGAAAAACCAAAATGTTACTTCAAATAAATTTTTGAAGTATTGCTTATATCACTTATAAGCCTGAGAGATATAAAGATGTGTCTATCAGTCTTAAGAAAGGAAAGAGAAAGAAGAAAGGAAAGAAAGATTTAAAAAAAGAAGGAAAACAGACCTAAGAGTTAATAATTTATATCAAAGATTAAGCAAATAATTCCTGGGAAAACCTGTCACCCATATAAACAGTTTCCATATTGAGTCTCATACTCAGTACTGAATACTTCTGTAATAATTCCAACCAAATCTATGAAATAACTGCAAATGTCATAAGCATGTTGTGTTTTGTTCAGTTGTAGCCCCCGGTCTTAGCATAAAACACAACCCACAGGGTATGTTCAATAATTTGCTGAAAAATGTCAACCTAATAATAGTGGTGCTAATGCAGGGGAGAAGGTAGATCACAGGCAAATGGTCTTCTCAAAACACAAGAAACTGTCAAACATAATCTCTAAGAGTAAGGCCAAGCATAAAGAGCTCCCCAGGAGATTTTGATACAAAACAGCAGTTTAAAAGCTACTCCTTAGATCTAGAGAGATCAAGCAAGTTCACAGAGACAAAAAGCAGAATGGTGGTTGCCAGGGGTTGAGAGCACAAGGTAATGGGTACAGTGTTGTTTAAGGGATAGAGAGTTTCAGTTATGCAAGATGAAGAGTTCTGGAAATGGATGGGGGTCCATTACATGACTTACTGAACTATATACTTTTTTTTTATTTAATTTTTTTTTTTTTTTGAGACAGAGTCTCACTTTGTTGCCCTTGGTAGAGTGCCATGGCATCACACAGGCACCTGCCACAACACTCGGCTATTTTTTTGTTGCAGTTTGGCCGGGGCTGGGTTTGAACTCACCACTGTCAGTATATGGGGCTGGCACCCTACTCACTGACCCACAGGTGTTGCCGTGAACTATATACTTAAAACTGGTTAAAATGTGAACTTTATGTTATGTATTTCATCATGATTTTTTAAAAAGCTGTTCCTTTTTGTTTGACATATTTCAACCTTTAGAAAATTCTTCCATGGGTTATAAAAACTTAGCTGGAATTACATTAATTCAACATTTATGAGGTACCCATAAATTGCAAACAATTCAAATAGTTTATACCTCCAAAAAGAAGAGGACAGTAAGTACTTGAAAGAGTGAATTAATTTTTCTCACAGTCTGAATTTCATTCCATTCATTTGCTACAAAATATGTTCTCCATATGCTTACAGGAACAGTGGCACTCCGTACACCACCCTCACCTGGTCAGGGAGATAAAAACGAATAGAAGTGGTTCACCTTTTTTGCTCTGCAAGGGTAGCAAAAAAATTTTGGCACAAATATTTATTTTAGTTACCTTCAACAGCTTTCAGAACCTTTCCTTTAGGTCGCTCCCAATCAATAAAGAATATATCTATGGTCACCTGGGATATGAGTTTATGCAAAAATTGTAGTGCCTGAGAATGACATAGTTAAAGTATCAGCATAAAGCCTGCTTATACTGATTCTTTAAGAAACATACTGAAATCACAAGAACATATAATTTTTACAAGTGAACTCATATGAATTTATAATACCCTTAGAGCATCTCTAAGAAGCTCATCAAATAATGTGGAATCATCAAATTCACAGAATTTTCATATACATATTAATTTACTTTCCCTTTCTCTTTCTTTAAAATACAGATGCAAAAAAAAAAAAAAAGTGGGGGAGAATCACCTATTTCCTCCACATATAGGGTCCTTGCATAATTGCCTCTCTAAGGATTCTAGAAACAGAAACAGCCTTTACTTTGTAGATCATCTGACTTCTTTATAAGTAAAGGTATTTTTCAACTGTGATCTGCTTACCCTGATTAAAGTTTCAAAATGCTTACTATCTTTTATCTCTGATTTTTAAAAAAAGTGTTGCTGATTTCTTTTCTGAATGTATTTATCTTCATTCGTTGTTTATGAGGTTTTTGTTCTCAGTCCTTATGTTAAATATTATTATCATCATTAAATTTAGCCTTTTGAACTCTGTGAAGGCAAAAGTGGAAACCTAATATACACATGTATAAGTAAGAAAAATAAATTTAAAAAAATGTGTTGCTGAAACATAGCTTTCTCATTTATAGAAGCAATGTTTAAACTGAGTCATTCTTTCTAGCAGATACATTATTGATCAAACAAAGGATAAAAATCTAAGTATGAGATGATATCTCACCTCGGAGTTCCTAGTTCAGTGGGAAAAGCAGATACCTAATTAATCACAGTACAATGGGATAGGAACCACCAAAGAGGCCTGTAAAGAGCTTCAAGTGCATTGATGGAGGACAATGAAGGGGAAAGATGGTCATAGGAAGAAAGGAATATGGAGACAGAGAAAACAACTAACATTTCAGCACTTTATCCAGAGTGGCATCTTTTATCCTTGATTAGCAGAGACAAAATACATGCTTAAAGGCATTTTGTACTATTGTGAATGTATCATCAGACTTTAAAGAACAAAGTTAGACTCTAAAATATCATTTTATCAAATTAGCCATAACTTATGTTAATCTAAACATATTTATTGGCTTCTTTGAAAATTATTTCAGACAGATTTTCAGAATGAGCTATCTACTACAAATACAAATGTATTTCCTATACAAAATAATTCATGTTCTTTTTCAAAACTAAAGTAAATTTTATAACAAAAAAGATATTCTAATTCTAAAGACTTACTAATTTATTAGCAGGCCTTTTAAATTAAGTAACCTGCACTTTGAAACTTACCTTCAGGCTCGGCGCCTATAGCTCAACCGGCTAAGGCGCCAGCCACGTACACCTAAGGTGGCGGGTTCGAATCCCC